CCGGGGCACGAACCCATGTCCCCTGCATCAGCAGGCGGACTCTCAACCACTGCGCCACCAGGGAAGCCCTAAACTCTCTTATTAATTTTAATAATTGATCTGAGGATTCTTTGAGTTTTCCACATAGACAATCATACTGACTACAAATCATGTTGGTTTGTTATTTCCTTTATAATCCTTATACATTTATTTCTTCTTTTTTGCCTTATTGAACCTATAAGGAAGCTGGTCTAATGTTGAATGGAATGTTGAGAGCCGGCAGCTTTGTCTTGTCCTGGCGTGCTGGTTCAAAGGTGAATTTAGTTTGTGAAAATTTATCTGGCTGTGGACTTACGATCTGTGCATTTTTTCTAACACTGTGCTATACTTCAATAAAATGTTTTAAAAAAATTTAAGGAATATTATCCTGACATCCTAACCTCTCCTCGTAACCGTCTGCTCCAAGGATGCCACTGAGCAGGTTTGTACCTGTCTATTTCAACCTCACCATACATTACTGGAGAAAAGAAGTCTTAAGTGAGAACACCTATGGTGCTTGCATGCTTTAGAAGAACTATCGGGGGAGGGGGCTCAGCAGCCCCTTAGGGCAGAATGGGGAGGGTAGATGGAAATGCAGGGAAACAGATTTCCATATAGCAGAAGGAAAAGCTTTCTAAGATCAGTGTTGTCTAACCAGAGAATAGGCTGCTTTTTGGAAAAATGAGGTCTCCAGCACTGGAGGTATTCAAGCAGGGCTGGCGACACACCTATCAAGGATACTCTGCCGGGACCACCTCCTCCCCGCAATACTGGGTGAGCCCTGGACCATAGCGCGTCTTCCGTCTCTTCCAACTCCAAACTTCTGAGATTTTTAAAAGAATTGGGTTCATTTCTTTTTTTTTTTTTTTTTTTACACCATTTCTTATCCTACTTTTAGGCAATACTCTATCAATACCTCTCATAATACTTAGAAATCTGACCTTACACTAGAGAAAAGTCAGCAAAGGCAAAACTGTTTCTTTGAAAATATTAATGCTGTTGATAAACCTATCTCAAGTCTGATCACACACACACACAAAAGAAAGATAACACATTAGATTTCCCTTCCTCCAAAGAAATATCCAGCAAGTATCAGAATAGGCATGCATACAACAATTGGTTGAATAAAAGTGTAATTATACCTGTTATTTTCACCTCCAATCCCCTGAAGGTTGCGTTGCATTTTGAGGTTTCTATTCTTAGATCCTATCATTCTATAATATTTTCAAATAATGGACAAAGTGTCTCAGGCACTCGGTGGTCTGAAATCCAGTGAAAGGTGAAGAAGAAAACAGCTCTGGTAATGGGGCCTCTTTTGTAAAATAAGGAATTTTGAATGAAGTGAAGTTTTTAAGCTTTTTATGAGATGGGACATACTTCCGTGATTTCACAGTTTTACTCTATTTTTACTTTCATTCAGCCAAGCTCTCTCTTTCTAGCAAGGCTCCAGTTTGTTGGCGGATAAAAATACATTCGCAGTCTCTCCCAGAAGCTGCGCCATCAGCCTCGTGGACGAGAAAGAAGCCTGGTCTCCTTGTGCCGCTATGGAAATGTCTTCCTCCGCCTCCCCTGGGTCACCCGGCTCAAAGTCTTTTTCCTTCTTTGTTCGTCGTTCTCAGAGAAAATCTGGAGTCCAGACAGGGATGAGCCCAGAGAGGGTGACCCCTTGAGGGCAGCTCCGGAGGCGGGGCGCGTCTGCACCCTGAGCAGTCCGAGCCGAGCTAGCCCCGTCTCCGAGCGCGGGGAGAGTATTCCAGCCGAGCCAAGAAATCCGTTACCAGGCTGCTGTGTCCCCAAAGGCCATTCCAGGGCGGAAGAGGACGGGGAAAACCGCTGTGTTGATTCTCCCGCCCTGTGGGCTGGGCGCGCAACGGGTCAGGTTACAGACAGGTGAGTCGGGCGGATGGGCGAGATGCTGGCGCCAGGGCACCCCTGGCCGGCCGCGTCCCCGCAGCCCCCGGAGCTGGCACACGTCTGATCACCCCGGGAAGGGGGTGGCCGTCACGGCTGTGGAGGCGGTGCTATGCGTCCCTGGGCACACCGAGCAGAGGCCGTAGGACCCGCAGCGCGCCCCCCAAATGCCGCAACGTGGGTACAGCTGCTCTTAGAAACTTGGCATCTTTCTTTTACCAGCTCCCCTTCCTTCTCTACCCTCTCCCCCATCCTCGGCCCTCCAGGTATAAAGGTAGATGAAAACAAACAAACAAACAAGCAAAAAACCCCAAACCCAAAATAAATACCAAGCTCTCCAGCCACCTCCCCAGTAGGGGCAGTGAGGGGATGTAGCCCATCTTCACTGGCTTCTTGGAAAGTATTTCTCAGCCTCAGAATTTGGGGAGCAAGCGGTTAGGGGAGGCAATAATGGGAGTGGGCGAGGATAAGAAATCTGTTTCAAAGCTGTGTTTGCATAGCCAGCCCTTGGCTTTTTTTCCATCGTGTTTATTTGGGGTAAGGGGACTCTTGGGGTGGAACAAGCGGACTTGTTTTTCTTAGATTGTGTGGCACAAAATAACGTTCTAAAGATGCATGAATTTTAGCATTTAATTTTACTGTGTTTATTTGGGGGACTGTTGTCTATGAGGGGGAGCTGAAGCTCCCAAGTTCCCTCTTTACCAGATCAGAATCCTGGGGAGTCTCCCGCGGCCTCCCCCTTCCGCACACCCAGATTTCAGCAAACCCCGGGAATGATCCACAAAGTCCAGAGGAACTGAGCCATTTTCTGGCTTGCTTGTCGGAGGCGAATCCACTGGGGCGGGGTGGGGGTGGGGGGCGGGGAAGGGGGCGACTCGCGGGGGCTCCAGCTCTAGGGGGGACGCCCGGGGAGCGGACTTGGTGCTTTCCTCAAAGTGTTCGCCCTGCGGTGCCTGTGATGGGGAATGGGGCAGGGGGCTGAGAGAAAAACGTTCTTCCCTTTTTAAGAAGGGGAGGGGGGAAGACTGAGACGTTAAATTCTTTTGCAAACATTCGTGCCGAAGGAAGGGCTGGAACAGGCAGCCCCGGCCGCCGGAACCGGTCGGACAGGTAGCGAGCTTGTTGACACCGTTATGTTGCAGGGCGCATGCTCACTCCCAAGTTTCCTGGTGCCTTTTCTATTCCACCTTATGAAACTTTTTCCTCGGCGTGGTCTCACCCGCGATTTAAGGCATAGGTGTCGCCGAGCCGGGAGGCTGGGAGTCGCCGGGCGTGCGGGGGAGAGGCCGGGCCGCGCCGCGGCGGGGGGCGGAGGGAGAGGGCCGGCCGGGCGGGAAGGTGGGCTCTGGCCGCGGGGAACCGGGGACCGAGCCGCCGCCGCCCCTAGAGGGGAGCAGCCGGGACGAGGGGCCGCAGTCCGGGGAGGGGGCCCCACGATGCCCAAAGTCTTTCTGGTGAAGAGGAGGAGCCCGGGGGTCTCGGTCCGCAGCTGGGATGAGCTCCCGGACGAGGAGAGGGCAGACACCTACATCCCAGGTGAGCGCCGCGCCGGGGCCGGGCCTGGGCGCCGGGTTCCTGGGGTGCGGGCAAGGGTGGCCGGGTCCCCTCTGCTCAACGGCCGGGGCTGGACTCTCCCCCTCCCCCATGTCCCTCTTTCAAGGGGAGGAGGAAGTCACTGAGGCGCGGGAGGACCGAGAGTGAGAGGCTGGGAACCTGGGACGCCCTGCGCCCCCTTCCCCCTAGTGGGCGCCTCTAATTGCCCGGCGGCGGGACCGTTGGCTGCAGCGCGGGCCGGGGTGGCCCGGGGAGGGGGCTAGGGGCCAGCAGGGGCAACCCTCAGTCCCACATCCTCGTGGGGTTGCACAGGGATGGGTCAACCTCTCCGGGGTTGGGTGGGTCGAGGTCAGGCCCCCCGCCCGCATCCCAGGGAGAGGAAATTTGGCGCGCGGGCCCCCAGCCGCGCTGGGTCCTCTGTTCCTCGTGGGCGCTGTAACTGGGACTGAGGAGCGGCTCCCAGAACCCAGAGGTCGTTCGGGAGGCCAAGTCGGGGGCTCTCTCGCCCACCCCCGCGGCGTTGCCCACTTGGCGAGGTGCCCAGGTCCGGGGCGGGGCGGCGGCGGCGGCGGCACCGCCCGCAGGTCAAACTGCCGCGGGCGCCCGGGCCTGACGCCGCGTGTCTGTGTGTCGGGGTGCGGCCCTCCTCTGCAGTGGGCCTGGGCCGTCTGCTCCACGACCCTCCCGAGGACTGCCGTAGCGACGGCGGCAGCAGCAGCGGCGGCGGCAGCAACAGCGCGGGGGAGCCCGGAGGCGCGGAGAGCAGCTCGTCCCCGCGCGCCCCCGAGCGCGAAACCCCCGAGCCTGGCGATGGCGAGGTCCCCGGTGGACACCTGGCGACGAAGCAGCGCCCGGTCGCCAGATCGAAAATCAAGGTACGATGTCGACTCTGCCCCCGCCGCCACCTGCACCACGCCCTGGCGTCGGGCTCCCAGGGCCGGCGCCTCTCCCTGTCGCGCCCGCCCGCGCGCCCCGGCACCCGAGCACCCAGCGCGCCCGCAGCGCAGCTCCTGCACCTGCCCCTGGGTCGCGGCCAGGGCGCCTCCCCGCGTCCTCCCGCCTGCCAGGTAGCCGGCCGCCCGCGCTGCTGCGCCCCGGAGACTGGCTTCCCGCGCGGGCACAGGCCGCCCGCGTGGCCTCCGGAGCTGCCTAAAGGCTCAGGCACAGCTTCCTCCCCCCAGCAGTCCATTCTGTGCGCAGGGCCTGAGGAACACCCTGGCCGTCGGAGTTCCCGGGGTGGGAAAGAAGGGACCCCAGGCCCCGGGCTCCCCTCCTCTGAGGTGCAGTTCCTACAGCTTTGTGAATTCTGAGTTTCGCCCCCTTCCTCGAGTTCTGGAGGCAGTGGTGGCAGCTTGGCACACAGTGGGCCTTTCACAATCACAACTATTCCCAGTGCCCGTTAGACACGAGGTCTGTGCGGGGCACTTTAAACTTGTGTTTGTCAAATCTTGAATTTTGTTCACGGATGAACGGATTCAACTGCAAATTGACCCACTGCCCCGCCCCCAGTGGGTTGGAGTGTTTGTTTCCCTCTATTTTCGCGCTTCAGCCCCCACCCCCACCCAGCCTCCTGGAATTGTAGGCCACAGCTTATCCGGACGCCCATCTGCGCTTTCCTGTGTGGAACTGCCATGATTGCCTGCTCAAAGGTATCCGCTACCTCTGAGACTAAGCTGTCCCATTCCACTGACTCACGGGCGGCGGGAGCCTGGGAGTGGTGTTTTAGGAATCACATAACCCCAGTTCCTAGCCAGGTGGGCCTTAGTGTGAGCCTTTTCGGGCTCCACGCCCTTGGTGTACGTGTTAATTCTTGGGCGCTCCAGGGTGGTCCCGAAGCCCCCTGCCCAGGCAGCGGGATGGGGCGGAAGCCCTAGGGTTCGCTGTGGATTGCGAAAGCCTCCTCCGTTACTTTTCCTGGGAGAGGTCTTCCCTCCCCTGTGCATTCCTGGCTCCAGGGGCTTGGCTCTGTGGTGGGCTGGCGTGCATTTGGTTATGAATTGGGGCTAGAGGCTTGAGCTTGGAATCCTTAAGAAAGACACCTTTAAAGGATGCTGGGACTGGGTGTGGGCATCCTGCTTAGTGTTTAAGTGGGCTGATGAGGTTCAAAGTCAGCTGATGGGAGGCTTTTCTGGGCCAGATGGGGTTAACTGGGAGGGACAATTTGCCTGAGGCCTGTAGCTCTGCCCTCCAGGAAATTCTACCAAGTATCCACTTGCATATTTATCACCGGCCGGAAGGACAATTTGCAACATTGTTTTCGGGTGGTCTATAGCTACTTTACCCCTCTGTCCCCCAACTGCCCAGATTGCCCTGGAGACAAGGTGGCACAGGAAAAATATCCAGTCCCTTAACCACCATTTTTAGGAGATCTCTGCCCCCCCAGGCAAACAGCTCCACTGGGGCCCTGGATTAAGGGAGTGAATAAACCAATTTTATTCCCAGGATCCTTGTTTTGGTGCTGACCCCAGTGGTGGGGGGTAGGGCATAGAGTTTGCTCCTCAACCCTTAACAAGGTTTCCAGAGGAGTTTTTGTTTGTTTACTGAGGCCGAAGTTCAGGTTCCCTCTCCCTCTCAGCTTCCACAAGACCTCCTGGGGTTAAGATGCTCCAAGCCTACAGAATTATCAGCTGTGGTATTGGCCATTTTCAAATGACTGGTCCAATTGCCCGTGAATTAGCATGTTGTATAACTGTAGAGTTCTATGCAAAGTATGCTGAACTGTCTAAGAATTAGTTTCCTAACCATAAGAGGGGGAAGCCACTCAGGCATGATGCATGTTTTTCAGTGACTCGAAGACGCTTACTGAACAGTTGGTTCTTAGGACCAGAGAAGGGCAGAGAGAAGCTACATCCCATCCAACAGTATGTAGTGCCTGCTGTGCACAAGGCAGCCAGGAGATAAAGATGCTGCCACCCTGGTGTTCCAGAATCTTCTGACAGTAACGGTTAGGGCTCTAGGCTCTGGTTTAGTCCCTCTGGGCCTCAGTTTCCTCGCCTGTAAAAATGGGGATAGTAATGAAACAAGTAATGAAACCTCATAGAGTTGTGAGGATAAATGAGTCAAGCGTGAAACATGGTAGGTGTCCAATAACTCTAGCTAGAATTATTTGGGTTGGTGGAGAGACACAAATACTAAATTAATTATTAACCCTATTACAGGAAAGTGAATGCTCAACTAGCAGCAGAAGCAAAGATGCAGTACATTCTGAGCAGAGGAAGGTTCCTTGGTGTGGATTTGAGGGCTGTGAGAGAAGGGGGAGAGGCACGCTTTAGGGTAGTATGGGCTGAGCCCAAAGCTTGAGTAAGGACAGGACTCAGAGCTGGAGGGAGGATGGGAAATGGGCCTGGGGTCAGGGAGAGTCAAGGTGAGGAGCTGGACATTAGCCAGGACAGGCTCTGATGGTAAAGGGGCCAAGCCGAGAAGTGTGGGTGCTCCCGTGGGGGCAGAGGAGGGGCTCTGGAAGGTTTTTGAGAAGGAAAACCTCATTTGGGTCCATCTCACCAGCTGTGGTTGGGGATACCTTATCTGTTCTGAGCCTCAGTTCTCTGATCTGTAAAATAGAGAAATAAGAATCGGCCTCTCCAAAGCATTGGGCAGATTACATGAGACAATGGGGACAACACGCTGAGCAATTTTGTGTGTGTGTAAACTGCCCAGTGGGGAGTTAGCCAACAGTGACTCATAGCAAGTTTTGTTAATGTCCAATACTTTGTTGCCTACAGCAGGGACAAGGGATTTACCAACTGGATTGGCTGGATTTAAGTATTTTTTAAAAACCCACCCATTTGATATTTGGAAGGTAACATAAGCCCCAGCCCTAACTCCCTGCCTGTTGACTTCAGCCTCCCAAGACAGAACTGGATGTCCCAATTCCCCCCACCAGTCTTGTAACTCACTGACCATCTCCTTGGCTGACCAGACTTTTCTTCTTGACTCTAGACCCACCAAAGGCAGGGAGCATTCCTGCTGAGCTTGTATTTTCAGCACCCGGTGCAGTAATGCCTGACTCATAAGAGGACATAAGTCAACATAGAAGAGGAATACAGGCAGGGAAGGAGTCAATAGCATCTGGGGGGAGATAGGAAGCAAGACAAAAAGGGAAAAATGCTTGGAATGGACGCTTGAAAAAGCTTAAATTAATTTAAAGGGGGAAAAAGGAATAGGAGAACAATGTAAGTGTTAACTGCAACCAGCTTTTAACTGGAATATAGGTGAGGTCGGTTTTTGTGGTTGGAAGGGTCTGAATGGATTTGTTGCAGAAACAGAATCCACTGTAGCTCACTTAAGCAGACAGTGGTTAATTATAGGGTACTAAATGGGCTAAAGAGAGACCAGGTAAGCTCCCAGGAGTGACTCCCAGAGCCACACTACAGAACTGGGCTACCTAGGGAACTGCAGCCGTGGCCTCTTTGGCTGCTGTCGTGCATCACGATGCTTCTGCTAATGCAGGATGTGAAACAGTTGCCACATACCTGCCTCGGCTCAATTAACTCAGGCCCGAAGTCAAATCTCCTGATGGTGCATGTAACTGGTGGTACCCAAGTCACATCTAAAGACCACAGACGCCAGGGATTCTGGGAAATGTAGTGTCTAGCTTTTGTAGCCTCTGCTGTACAGGAAGGCCCACCAGAGGAGCAGGAATAGAGGCTGAGCGTGTCCACCCACAGGATCTACTTCAGGGACCCTTATGTGGTCCAATCTCCTCACTTTTGTGGGGAGAAAGGTAAAGCCAGAGAGCTTTTGTTGAGTTCGTCACAGGTACTAGTGGCAAAGCCCAACGCAAGGCTCCTTATTCTTCAGCGTTGTTGTACTGCATCGTGGGAGCTACCTTTGACGCCTTAGCCATTAGCACTGACAGCCTGACACGAAGGAATTGAAGCAGTTTCTCACCATGACATGAGACAAAACCACAGGGCTCATCCCTGCCTCTCCCACACGTCATGCCCAGACCCATGGGCCTGTCCCGGGGAAGTGCAGGCACACGCTTTGCAGACAACAAGCCCCATCAAAATCTCGGTGTGGGCACCTACCAGCCCTGTGGCCACAGGCGGGTTTCAGGTATTTGAATCTGTTTCTTCTGGATGACTAGGATATGTCCCTTCAGCATCTCTGCATTTGGGAAGGTTCTGCATTCTGCCACGCAGTGGAGTTGTGAAGCTTAAGGAAGGAGTACATAGGAGCAGGAGGGGAATGTTTATCCTAAAGGACCTGGGGAAATACGCTTAGCATGTTTTGAGCGCTCGGGCATAAGCGCGTGAGTCACTGGAAATCTCGTCTGCGCGGCCACCGGAAGGTAGCCTGCACTCACAGTAGCCTCCCACAGGAAATAGGACCATTAATTTAAGGAACTTGTCTGGTGGAAGCATCCACAGAAAATAAAGGATTTTTTTTTTTTTTTTCCTTTAGAAGTTGACAGGTAAGTGACCTTAGCCAGCTTTTGAAGTTGGTCAGAGGGCCAGCCCAGGTCCCTACCTCCCTAGATGCTCCTGAAGTCTTCAGCAGCTCTGATACAATGATGGGTTTGTTTCTGCTGCACAGGCCTGTTTTTAGAAGAACTAGAGGGGAACTTTGTGTGTTTTTTAAAATGAAAGCCGAGATCCTGCAGAAAACAGGACAGCAAATAAGAAAGCGCCAAGCTTCAGGGTTGGGGAACTGCTATCTCTCTTCATCTTTCTTGCCCTGAATTAATCTCCAGTTAGTTAATTAATCTCCAGACTGATGTCACCTCCCATCCTCGTGGTAGCTTCCTCACTTCAGTAATAAGCCTTCTGGAGAGTTAATTTTGGATTAAGGGTGAGACTATTAAGCTTTTTCTGAGGATAGCAGTGTCTGGAGCGGTATACTGTAATTGAACACAATACTTTCCATATCAAAA